CGGGAGTGGGAGGGGAAACACAGCAGGAGGGGCTGGGAGCTGGAGGGGAAACCCAGCAGGAGGAGCTGGGAGTGGGAGGGGAAACCCAGCAGGAGGGGCTGGGAGTGGGAGGGGAAACCCAGCAGGAGGGACTGGGAGTGGGAGAGGAAACCCGCCACAGCACCTGGGAGTGGGAGAGGAAACCCACCACAGCGCCTGGGAGTGGGAGGGGAAACCCAGCAGGAGCAGCTTGGAGTGGGAGCGAAGCCTGCCTCAGCTGGTTTCGCTCCCCTCTCTGCTTGGCTCCAGCCACTGGAAGCCCTATTCTTGCAGGAATCTTCCTGCAACGGGCCCCTAGTGTTACTATATATCAAGACAGGATTCTACTTATCTCAGTTGATCTCACTCTATGAGGACAGGAATTATCATCATCCCCATTTTACAATGGGCAAAGTGGCTGGAGAGCTTAAACAATTTGCCCAAAGTTCGCCACTTGGCTAATTGTGAAACCATGTCTGTCAGCTCCAAAGCTGGTGCTCTTCCCCACTAATTGATGAAAAATAAATTCCTCATTGAGCTTTACAAAGTCCTGAGTGACTTTAAATTCTACGAGGACGCACAACTAAACAGAAGTCAAGTCACATAATCTGGTGTAGATTATGTTCCCCAGGATACATCTCCAGACCTTCTCTGAGAATTTCCAAATTTGCAAATGCCACTCCAGCATATAGCTGCTTATCTATAACGGGGGGGTGGGGGGCGGGGGAGAGAATAACATCTGGCTCCCCAGGTGACTCTGCAGGTCCAACAAGAGCAGGTATTAACACCTTGCTGACCGGTCAGGAGATAACTCGTGTCTGTATTTACATTAAGTGATTTTAAGCTTTCATAGTTTTAAAATGACTTAAATTAATGTAAATGCAGACACGAGTTATCTCCTGACCAGTCAGCCAGGTGTTAAGTTAAGAAGCACAAATTTGCATTGGGAGAGGATGTTGCATGCTCTGCTCACCAGCATTCGCCTCTAGGTAGCGGATACTGCCATACAGGAAGGATGCGAGAGGACAGGCAGGCACTGCCCTGAGCACTCAAGGTCAAGTGTGCATCGGGAGGTGTAAAAGAATTTAACACTACATCAACCAGTCCCAGCAATTTTAATCAGACCTGTTAGGTATCTGTGCTGAAAAGGCCATGCTTTTCCAAGACACATAAACACATTCATATAGACTGTCTCTTAGAAGACCCAGAAATGCCCAGGCATAAAAAACTCACATCACTGGTGAATTTTGAGATCTTGCTCACGTTCCTGAATTGAGGTGTTTCACAGTAGTTGATACTGTGACCTTTACTACTTTCGTGATCCTTCTTATACTCCACCTTAGAAACCAAAACACCACTTGCACAATAGAACCAAACCCGAAGTCACTCTTGAATATGTCACCAGGACTTTACCAGGATATTTTTAGAAAACTTTCAGCCCAAGATTTAAAAATACCAGGCCCAGCATACTCTTAAGTTAACAGTACAGATTTTCCTTTCAAGGAATAAATAAGTGACAATCAATTTGGTTCTAAACATTAAAAATATACAATCTCTTTCAAGAAGGAATACTATAAGATTTCACACCACTTAAAAATGGCAGAACTTGCCGAAACTGGTTTGGCTCAGTGGATAGGCCCAGCATACTCTTAAGTTAACAGTACAGATTTTCCTTTCAAGGAATAAATAAGTGACAATCAATTTGGTTCTAAACATTAAAAATATACAATCTCTTTCAAGAATAAATACTATAAGATTTCATACCACTTAAAAATGGCAGAACTGGTTTTAGGAATCAAGACAGTGGTTACTGCTGGGGAAGCGTGTCTGTGGGGATAGACAGAGAGGGGTGGTGTCTGGACTTTGGTTATGTTCTGTTTTTTGATCTGGGCACTAGTTATGCAGATGTGTCCACTAGTGAGAATCCTTCCTGTTACACTTGATATATGCACTTCTTTGTATGAATACATCAATAAAATATAACCCACAAAGTTACTTTTCAAAGGCATAGAATACATACGACCATAGATGCACAGAGTGTCTTCTCATTTTAAATGGGTTGGCTAGCTGAGCTCCCCTGGGTAGCTGGGTGTCAAATGTGAGGCTGCAGTTATTAAATAGACTCCAGGTCACAGGAGAAAGAGCGGAGGGTGACTGCCACTAATAGAGGCATGGCTGGTTTATCTCACTTGATAAACATAAGGGCAAAAGGAAACCAAAGCTCCCTTGCGACCTCTTACCAAAGGCAATACAGTTTGTTGTCCTATTTTATTAAACACTAGAGCAGTGATGGCGAACCTATGACACGCGCGTCAGAGGTGACACACGAACTCATTTTTTTGGTTGATTTTTCTTTGTTAAATGGCATTTAAATATATAAAATAAATATCAAAAATATAAATCTTTGTTTTACTATGGTTGCAAATATCAAAAAAATTCTATATGCAGTCAGACATCCTTAAGGCTGCTGCGGAAGTGGGAGAAGCTCCTGCCACCGCCACTGCGCTCACCAGTCATGAGCCCAGCTTCTGGCTGAGTGGCGCTCCCCCTAGGAGAGCACATTGACCACCGAGGGCAGCTGTGTTGAGTATCTGCCCCCTGGTGGTCAGTGCACTTCATAGAGATTGGTCATTCTGCTGTTAGGTCAATTTGCATATTAGTCTTTTCTTTATTACATTGGAT